GCAGGTGCTGGTAGTCTGAGCAGAGAGGAGAGGGTGAGTGTGGGCAGAGCTTGCCCAAACACGGGTACAACCAGTCAGGGATCCAGAGCCCCCAGCCACGTGCAAACATAGACAAGCACAGTGGCAGCACAGCTGTTGGTTCCCCTCCTGGTGCCTCTCTGGCAGAGCCATCAAACCCCAAGAAGAGCCCAGCAGCCACCCTGATGCCAGCCTGTACCTGCAGAGATGGAGTTGAAGCCCAAGGCGAAGGGTGGTGTGTCCCCCAGCTGCACGGACACGTTGACGTTGGACAGCGAGGCACTCAGGATGATGGGCGCTATGATTTGGGGATAGCTCCTGCACGGGACAAGCAGGGATGGTCTCTTACTGGGAGCCGTAGGCCATAGAGCTTGGCAGGGAACAGACCCAGAGGGACCCTCTCTTCAGGAGTTCCCTGATCACCTCCCGCTCTCCGTACCAGCCACCCCATCCCCCAGGCCGTGCGCAGGGCAGAGAAGGTGCTGAGTGCCCGGGCACCCTGCCAGAGTGTGGCAAGAGGAAACAAGCTGTGATACCAGCAGCTGTGCTGAGGCCAAGTTTACCTTCCCTTGTGCCCTTGGCTGGGGACAGGCACCGCCCGGCACCTGTACTCCTGTGCCAACAGGCCCAGCCAGTGCGAAAACTCTTGGTGACGGTAGTGGATGATGCAGGTGTTGAGCAGAACAGCAGCCGAGAGGTCAATGGCTGTGACCTAGAGCAGGGAGAGGGCCAGGTGGCAAAAAACTCATGCCAGGAGCCAAACCAGTCACCCCCAGGAGACAGGACCATGCCCAGCAGTCGCTTACCTGTAGGCTGGTCTTCAGGGAGTTGAGGCACACGATGCGTTGGCGGCTCTGGGACAGGAGAAGGCCATCTGGGGAGAGAGAGGAGCAGAAGTCAGGGGTGATGGAGAGCAGTGATGGCAGGCCTGTCTCATGGGTACCCTCCTGGCTACTTGCCCTCCAGCTGGAGGTCTACACTCATTTGGTCCAGATCTGAGGTGGGCGTGAAGTTGCGCAGCGGGATCTGCTCCTCTTCACGCTGATATAGAAACTGCAGCAGCTTCAGGCTCCAGGTAAGGTGCCTGTAAGAAGCAGGGAAACGCTGCCAGAAGGGGACCACACTATCATGTCCTCCATCTCCCCATTTCTCATCACCAGCTGATCAGCATGCTGGCATGGACAGACACCAGCCAGTGCCCAGCTGAAGCCCAGCCCAGTGCTCTCATCCCATCAGCAGAACATCCCATCAGGCTGTCCTGCTAGAGAACCAGCTCATGTCCTTCTTCCCTCCCCAGGAGCCCAGCCCGAGGCCAAGCTCAGTCCTTCCCACTGGGGTGGGCTCTAGGACTCACTCTCTGCAGTCTGGATGAGCAGGGAATGGCACAGCTGTCTCCAAGTCCATGTCCCAAGCACTAATTTGGTTTAGGACAGCCTCGTGCCTCCACCTGCCTCCTTACCTCGTCTGGCTGTTCATGGACAGCACCATGCTGGTGTTCTCCAGCTTCATCTCCACCCTCCTGGGGATAAGCTGCAGCGTGTCCCTGCTCAGCATAGACAGGGACTTTGGGGGCTCCTCAGGGCCTGCAGAAGAACACAGTCATGGGAAAGCTCTTGCCCAAAGCTCCGCACTGCAGCAGGAGCGAGAGATGGCACAACCAAATTCCTCTGGCTCCAGTGCAAGCATGGGGACTGCCAGCCCCTGTCCTGCCTGGAGCTTGTCCCTGTCCCTCTCCTGACCTGTGCCAGGCTGTTCCCCTGTGCTGCTGCGCTGGGCCCCAGCAGTGACGTGGTGCAGGAGGGGGCTGCAGAAAAGCCCCTCATGCAGCTCTGCCTGCAGTGTCCGAACACACAGCCGGACGCCCACCAGCCGCCGCTTGCTGCTGATCTCCAGCGAGAGGGAGAGCGCCAGGGCCAGCTCTGCCAGGCACGTGTCATCCTGCGTGGGGACAGAGCAAGGAGTGATATCCAGCGTCCTGCCAGCGGGTGCTGCAGCTGCCCAGCATTGGGCTCAGGGCCTCATAGCAGTGCCCAGCCTCAGGGACAAGCTGGAGTGGGTCTTCAGGGTGTCCCAGAGAGGTGGCGCCCAGGCTCCAAGTGTGGAATTCTCCGGCACTCACCAGCTGGCTGCTCCGGAGGACTTTGCTGTTCACCTTTGTCAGGCTCAGCTCACAGGTCAGGCTGGGGAGAGCAGAGAAGAGAGGGAGGATGTGGGCCTTGCTGCTGCCAGACCAACTCCCTGCCTACTCTTTTCTGTGGGACACGGGGACCCCACATCCCTGCTCCAAGTGCTCCCCAAAGCAGATCGTGCCCTAAGTCCATGCACATGAGCAACATACTATTTGGAGAACACAAAACTCAAGCTTCCCATCATGGGAAAAGGAACCAGGTCAGCCTGGAGAAGCTTAATGTGTCACATCACAGGTGACATGAGATGCTGCTGAGTGGAACAGAGAGAGGAGACACTAGGCTGGGATCAGAGGAGCCTCCCTGCCCCTGAAGCAGAGCACACACAAGCACAGTGTTACCTCTTCCCATTGCCATTCAGGAGGAGACGCGTCTGGCTGGCCTGGATGTGCCAGAGAGACTCTGAGGTGGCCACGTGCAGAACCATGATGTTGATGGAATCCATGTGGATGGAAAAGAGCTGGGAGGAAGGTGCTACGGTGAGGGATATCCGACAGCAGTGCAGCCCAAACAGCCTCTCACCAAGCCAGTGCCTCACCTGGCTAAGTAGCCTTAGCAGGGAGGGTTTGAGAGTCAGGTCTGCTCTGCCTTCATTTCCATCAGCTTCTCTGGGAACCTCCGGGACGGACGTCTGGAGGCCAGGGCCCTTCTGGAGATCTGTGCGTATTCGCACCTCACCAAAACACAGCTCGAAGTAGCGCCTGTGGGAGAAGAGCACAGGCAGCTCTTACAAGAGCTCACACTTGGCACACCCAGCCCCGCCACCAGTGATGTCCCCCACCCCAGGGACATGCAGGACCGGCATAAGGGCACCCACAAGACACTGCCACCTCAAAGAGGGGTTCACTCTCTCACAGAGCAGACCGTGGGGAAACAGGGATGTAAAAAGCGTGTAAAGGCAGCAGGACCACAACCAATGGGGCCAGGGGTGAGCCAGACCCCCCAGGTGAGCAGGCAGGGAGTTGGGGTGGAGATACATACGGCAGCTCCCGGCTCAGTTTACTGGAGATCCAGATGTTATCAATCTCCTGCAAGGACACATGGGCAGGTCAGAGAAGAAACAACCTGAGACTTATGATGCTCATCCTGACATTCCCGCTCCACTCGCAATGCCTGTGATCATTCAAGGAGCAGCCAAAACGCCAAGTGTGGCCCTTGGAGGAAGGGCCTGGCACCAGCCATGGGGATGCCCAACAGGAGCATGGCTACAGATTCGCTGCCAGCCTGTAAGTGACTGTAAGCACCCTCCCTGCCTGTCTGCCAGTGACCACCCCTTCCCCAGGTACCCACCACAGTCTGCTGCTGCCGCTGAAACTTGAGGCTGATGTTCTGGGCCCAGAAGAAGCCGAAGGAGCCGATCTTCAGCTCTGCATGAAGCTTCTGCCGGCACCAGGTGACAGCCAGGCGACATGCCAGCCACCTGCGGGGACAGGGGGAAGGCCAGGGTCAGGGGGGCTGGGGACCAGGGACTCTCTTTGGCCTTTGAGTACCAGCTCCAGCACTCACAGATGGATAGGAGCTCCCAGGGCCCCAGGCTGGGGCAGAGACCCTTCAGGGTTACCCCCAACAATCCCTGACACGCCCTCCAAGCCCTGAGGAGTCCCTTTGACCCCCATAATCCCGCAGACAACCCATGCCCACCCCTGTGGCCTCCCATGAACTTCTGTACGTCCCCAAGCCACTGACATCACCCCACACTCCCAGCCCTAGGAGCCCCCAATCCCCTGCAGGCTCCCTGCAAGTTCTGTGAGCCCCTCAAATTCCCCAAACCCCCCAGAGCCCTCTTTGTCCCCCTTAAACCCTGCTTCTCCCCTCCTAGACCCCCAACACCTCACCCTTAACACTACCCCAACCACCCTTATCACCCCCCAGAACTCCCGTGGGTCCCCAAAACCGCCCGACACCCCACTGCCAGCCCCACGGGCCACCCCTTGACCCTTGTGAGCTCCTCCCATCCCAGGACAGCCCCACCCGCCGCGTTGTCACCCTCCGGCCCCCTATCGCCCCTCTGCCAGCTCCGCGCCCACTCACCGCCCCTGTCACACCCCCCACCACCGAGCCCTCGCGGGCTCCCCACGACCCCAAACCCGCCCCCCAGGCCCTGACCGCGCCAGCAGCCCGGCGAGCAGCGCGATGAGGACGATGCCGAGGAGCGCGGCGGGCAGCGGCGGCGGCATGGCGGGCCCGGCCCGGTGCGGGCCCCCGGCCCTGGTGCGATCCCTCCCTCCTCCCTCCCGCCCCGGCCCCGGCGCTGCCGCCGCCGCCCGAGGGGCCGCCCGCGCACCCCGACTGGCCGCTGGGAGGGGCGGGACGGGGCGGGGCCGAGCGGCTCCTTCCCGGAGAGCGCGGCCGCCGCAGCGCCCCGCCGGGGCCGAGCGGTGACACCGGCACCGGGAGAGAGGGGCGTGACTGGGACCGGCACCGGGATGACGGGGGAGAAGGGAAGTGACACCGGGTCCTGCGCCGGGACGGAGCGAGAGGGTGACACCGGGCTGCACCGGGCCGCAGGAGGCAATGACACCGGGGCCAGCACCTGGATGGGGCAAGGGGGAGGTGACACCGGGCCCAGCACCATGATGGGGCAGGGGGGTGACACTACGGCTGGTGCTGCGATGAGGTGAAGGGGGTGACAATGGGTTGGGGAGAGGGGGGGTGTGACACTGGGTCCGGCACTGGAGGGGCAAGAGAGGGGACACTGAGTCTAGGTACCAAAATGGGGTGAGGGGGTGACACCAGGTTTGGCCCCCAGCCGCAGCCATCCTCTGCATCCCCCACACAAACAGCCACACTACAGGGCAGGGTTCAGCACTTTTATGCTCCCAGGTCCCCACAGGGTGCAGGGAGTGGTTTGGGGTACAGCAAGGGGGGTACAGTTCCTGGGAACAACAGTCCTTTGAGCGGGTCCTTGGACGGATAAGGGGGCTGCAAGGGACAGGGTGCGAGTCTGTCAATCTCTGGGTTGGGTTTGGATGTTGGGCTTGGCTTTGTGCTGGATTTGGGATGTTGGGACCTGCTTTGTGTCAGATCTAGGATGTTGGGCTCTGCTTTGGGTCACGTCTCAATGCTGGGACCTGCTTCATCTCAGATTAGGGACACTGGAATCTGCTCCACATCAAATTCAGGACACTGGGATCTGCTTTGTGTTGGAGCTCTGTGTCCTGGTGTGTCAGTCCCAGGTGGGTACAGGAGCCATCCTCTGAGTTTAGTGGTCCCAAACACAGCAGGGCAGTGCCCAGAGGCTCAGCTTCAGTCTGTCTGTCCCTCACAGCTCAGCGTGGTACCGCTCTGCTTTGAAGGCCTCGCTGGGCTGCATGAAGATGCCCTCCATCACCTTCCAGTAGTTATTCTGGCTGGAGGTGGCCATGCCGTGCACCTCCTTCTGCCCATGGATGGGCCGCCCATACTGCTCCCCTGTCACCGAGAGGAAGACGTCGGTGGAGGTGTGCTGGAAGCGAACCTCGTCATCTCGCACCCAGTAGGTCCCACTGCACACCACTGTCCAGTCGTCCAAGTAGTCACCCTCGCCGGCCTCCCCAAATGCACTCACCTCCTGCGGATGAAGAACAGCTCATTTTGGGGACCGGGGTGAAGAGGGGGGGCGGTACTCACAGGTTGGGGTGGGCAGAAGAAAGGGCTGGGCCTAGGGGTGGGAAGGACATGGTTGTTGGGACTTGGAGGGTCTGGTTGGGATTCAGGCACTGGCAGGGCAAGGGGGAACCAGTATGGACTGGGGAACAAGATGGGACTGGTAGGGACCCAGATGGGACCAGGGGAAAAGACAGTGCTGGTAGGGGCATGGAGAACAAGAGGGACCCAATCTGAACTGAGGAACAAGATGGGACTGGTGAGGGCATAGGGGACATGGCTGGGGCCAGGGCCCAAGGAAGGGAAATGAGGGACCTGGTTGGGACTAGTAGGGACAGGGAGAACCCAGGAGAGAGTTGAGGCTGGCAGTGACACAGGGGACAAGGGGGACCCAGTCTGGACTGGAGAACAAGACAGAACTGGTAGAGAGATGGGGGACCGAGTTGGGACTGATAGGGACAAGGAGAACTGGGGGGAAAGGAGAGACTGGTGGGGACAGGGAGAAAGAATCTGGTAGGGCCTGGGGAACAAGGCAGAGCTGATTAGGGACATGGAGGACAAGAGGAACCCAGTCTGAACTAGGGAGCAAGGTGGGACTGCCAGGGACAAGGGGGACCCAATCGGGACTAGCAGGGCCAGGGTAAACCCAGCAGGGACTCAGGGGACCCGGCAATCAGGGGACTTGGCAAGGGCAGCGACAGGGGACAGGTGGTGAGCCCGGGGCGCAGGGGTTGATCCGCGGTGGGTACCTGGTTCCCGGAGAGCGGGGAGGCGAAGCGGTGGCTGTGGAGGTTGCGGCCCGTGCCCAGGTGCGTGAGGCGGATGGCCTGCCCGCACCGCACCGGGGTGCCCCGCTGGCACACGGCGGCCGTGCGGCCCCGCACCCGCCAGTAGCTGTTCCCGTCATCCGCCGCCGACACGCCGGTCACCGACTGCTGCCCGCTGCCTGCGGAGGAGGGAGACCCGCCATCACACCCAGGAGCAGGGAAAACCGGGGGCGGAGGAGGGGAGGTGGAGGGGGTGCGCGTCCCGTTACCGGAGCCGTAGCGCACATCGTGCGAGTGCAGCCGCACGTTGTGCCGCACATTGAGCAGCTTCACCACGGAGCCGCAGGTGACGGGCCCGGGGCCGCCGCGCCCCGCCGCGCCCAGCGCCGCGGCCGCCAGCACTGGGAGCAGCAGCGGGAGCAGCCCCATCCCCAGCCCCATCCCCATCCCCGCAGGAAGCGGAAGAGCCGCCGCTCCGCCCGCCGGGAGGTCGCGGCTCGCCCCGCTCCGCCCCCCGCGCTCGCCGCCGCCGCCGCCTCCATTTTCCCTCGGCCCCTCGGGTAAGGCCGCGCCGGGCCCGGCGGGGAACGCGGGGGGTCATTTACCGGGGGGAGCGGCGCGGCCGCGTCAGCCCCGGCCCGTGGGTCATTCACCGGGGGAGCGGCTCGGCCGCGTCAGCGCCGGCCCGCGGGTCGGTCCCGACCCGGCCCCGCGGCGGCGCCGGGCCCCGGTGAGGGCGGCAGGGACATCCCGGAGGTTGGTGTCGGGCCTCCGGTGAGGGTGGCAGGGACATCCCGGAGGTTGGTGTCGGGCCCCGGTGCGGGTGGAGCGGCGGCGGCCGCCCCGGTCGGGCCCGGTGTCGGCCGTGGGTGGGGCTGGCGGCGGCAGGAGCGTCCCGGGGCGGGGGCCGAGAGGTGCGGGGCGGCTCCGCCGGGGTCGGGAGGTGCCGCAGCAGCACGGAACGCAGCGGGCCCGAGGCTGCGGGACATCACCGGCACGGTGCGGGGAGCTGGTGGATGTGAGGAGATGTGGCATTGGGGAGCGTCGGGATGCTTTTCTTGGAAGGGAGGGGAGGGAAGGGTCTGACCTTGCTTTCTCAGCTACACCGGTGGTTCTCAATTCCCCCGGCCCCGCACGTGGGATTCCCGGATCATCCTGGTCTGCAGGTGTGGTTCTCAGACCCACTGCATTAGGCTTTCCAAACTTCTGTCAAGGCCCTCCCTGAAAAGCAGAGGCCTGGCAGCCTGGGAAGGCCCTTTTTGAGTTTAATAAATGACTAAAAAGTGGCAAAAAATGGTAGGTGATTGGTCCCCACAGTGGAGTGAGGTTATTTCACTGTCATTTGTTGCCTTTTTTTTTTCCTGCTGCTCTTTTTTTTTTTTTTTTTTTCCCCTGAATGTGATGATGTGGAGAAAGAAAATGTAATCCTAAATTATTTACGATAGCTAAACCGGACTGTGGAGTTGCAGAGACTAGATAATACTGGGTGGGAGTGGTGGTGTGGTAAACAAGATATGATGGCAACAGGTGTAATGAAGGCAACAAACACCCTACTAACTGACTCAACTCTACTGAGCTCTTACTGTTTAGGGAGGAGCTGTTGGTGTCTCAGCAATTGTTTCTTTTAAAACTACTTCAACAGCCTGCTGTCTCCTAAAAAGGATATTTTGGAATTACTTTAAAGGAGCAGAGAATGAGATAGAAAACATCATTTTGCTGCTGTGTAAATGGTTGGCAGTTTGTGCCCTGGCAGTTATGGTTAGACCATCCCAAAATGGGAGCGCTGGAAAAGGCAGGAGCATCACGGGTGCGCAAGTTTTGGAGCAAGCAAAACCTTTTGTTTCCTCACCTTAGGGAGGAGACTTGGCTGACAGGAGATATGATGCAGGTGAGTGAAGTCACGGGCAGGTCAGAGAAAGCGAGGAGGGAGCATCAATTTTCTGTTTCTTACAGGAAATTATGATGCAGCAGGGCTAAAATAAACAGGAGGAAGTGCTGTTTCACACAACATGCTATTAAATGTGTCACTCTGCCACAGGACGTGCTGCCACCTGATAGCATCGGGGGCGGTGGGACCAGCGGGAGGTTTAAAACCAACAGAGCAGGTATGGGAAGTTCCTGAGCTGCGGTGTCTGTTTGGCTGGACTTTCCCTGTCGCGGCATCGTTGGTCTCCAGTCGTCACTTCCCCCTCGGCATGGCCACCACTGAGCAGGGTGGGAGCATCTGGTTTAGCTGCTGACTTCAGAAATCTGTAAAACAGCTATTAAAGTTAAATATATAAATATATAAAACTGTATATTGGTGATGTCAGGGCTGGCAGGTAACGTTGGCCCTGCAGAAGTTCATGTACTAGGGTACTAGGGAATGGCCCTGAGGAAGAGCTGAACACTGACTAGGTACCAGTGAGGGTTGTTTGTCGTGGTGGGAGTGCCTTTTAGGCTCTGTGTTTTGAGTGGAGTTTCCCAGAGATTTCTGAATCCTCTCTGGTTTGATATTTTGAAGTGTGGACATGAGAACTGAGAGAGACTGTTCAGTGGTGGCTTTGGCAACGTGGTTCCATGAGCTTGTGATCTTCAGCGAATTCTTAGTCGAACTATGAAATGGCAGAGATTAGAACTATCCCTGTCCAAACTCTCTCCCCCCCAAAAAATAACCCCACAAAAGCAGTGTTAGCATGGATAAGGACCCTGGTGGTGTTTCTCCCACAGAAGATGGGGAGAGGTCAAGGACTGCACCTGAGCTGTTGTGAAGCCTAAATGAGCAGCCTAAATGCTGTTTTGTGCATTGTCACTGCTGTCCTGAGGTAGATTGCTGAATAATAAATATATCTCGCTGGGAGGACACTCCTTGGTTTTTCTGTGAGCACCGCTGAGGTCTGCTGCTTTAATGGGCGTCTCATGCCTGGAGAGCATCTGATGCTTCTGCTTTCCCTCACCCCACACCTGCTGAGGCTGTGAAGCTCCTGTCCTGTGGGACACTGCCATTCCTCATGCTATCCTGCATCACGTGGCTGTGTCCCTCTGCCTTGCCAGAGTTCCAGGTGCAGGAATTTTCCCTGCATGTTCTGATATTTTGAAATGTATCTCCATTTCCAAACCCTAATGAGTTTTCTTTTGCTGGTGTTTGACGTACAAAGCCATGTCTGCCTCCTATACTGTGATGTTTTGCAGTCCTGAGCAGCCAGCAGGTATCTGGATGTGTGGCCAAGGCTTTACAAGTATTTGAATGTCTGATTTCCGAAATTCTCAGGTTCCTCACAAAGCAGCACTTGTTCTAAAGACCCATCCTGACCTAACCAGGGGGGCAGCCCACAGAGCCCATGGCTGATGTCCAGCCTGGTCCTGACCTGATCAGAGCTTTACAGTCCCAGTGCTGACAGTGAAGAGCTGTCTGCTCTGGGCATCCCAGCTAAAAGGAGGATGTGGTCTCTGGATAATTGCCATTGTGCCCTTGAGCTGAGCAAAGTGCAGACACCCCTGATCAAAACAGCTCTGCTGGCCCAATGGTCTTTAGACCCTCCTCACGCTCACACAAATGGGGCTCTCCCTGTGTGACCCACCACACCGAGCTCTGCTCTGTACCTCCACCTGTGCTGGCTGCAGCCTTTGCTTGCCTCCCTGGCCTGTTTTGTTTCAAATTAAGGCCTCTCTGGCACCGAGGGTGGGAGAGACACCTTAAGTCCATATCTGATTCAACATCTTGTTTCTGTTTTCCGTGCTAAGCGACATCTCTGCTGTGCTGGGGTGGATTTCACTGGAGCTGAAAGCACCCGGTTTTGTGGGTGGTTGGCTTGTGTGGAACCTGCTCGGCTGGATTTATTAAATAAGGTGGTTTTCCTAAGTCCTAGTTGTTCCCCATGTCCAGACAAATTTGATTTGACATGGACTGAAATTGCCAGGAAATGGTAAAACAAGTGATGAGGAAGCAAGTTGGAATTGTGAGTGAAACACTTCACTGGTAGAGAACAGTGAAACTCTGTGTGTTGCTGTGTTGAGGGGTTTCTTTTCTTGCTGGGTTTGTGTGTTGATCATGGGCAGTTGATAAATGAGGTTATTAGACTTAGAAATGCTCTAGGAAAAGCCACTCAGCCTGCAGTTTTATGTATGTTAGTACACCCTGGTGAATACCTGTAGCAGAAGAATCGGTGACAAAGCACAAATTTGACATAATATTCATACACAGGCTGCTAAATATAATTCCTGTAGTTACACAGTTCATCACTGGCACTTGCTTCAGGAACATGCACTTAAGTGTCATCTGTGCTACCCTCTGAGGTGTTCTGACGGGGTGCCTAAATACATGTGTGTGACTTCTAGTGCCCTCTCAAGGACAGGGATCACCCTGTGCTTACACACCGAACCAGAGCAGCCACATCCTGTCTGGGTGCAGAGCAGAAGCCTTGGCCTGCTGCATTTTCTGCCTGTCTGGAGCATCCTAGATAGATACTGGCCATGGCCACATATTCTGCAGCCTGGGAGTGTAAGCTGCTGTGTCCTCGTGTCTGAAATCTGGCAGAGGTCTTTCCCGAGTCTTTGTTGTGGCTTTTCTTTAATGAGATCTGGACAACACATTCCTTTGGAGCTATTCCTTTTTTAAGACTTAAAAGATCATCCAAGATGAGCCTTGGACCATTTAACTTTAACTGAGCAGTTAACTCCCTGGTTTTCTCAAAGTGGTTGTGTTTGTGCACCAGATGTGTGGATTTTGAGGCAGAACATGAAATCCTACACACAAAAAGTGTCATGGCAAAGCATTGATCAGGTTGTCCCATGTGGGACTGATTTCCTTCAGCTGGTTCTTTGCAAAGGGGAAATGATTATGGGAATATTTTGAAGCATGTTTGTTTAGGTGTCATTCCCTGGCATATGGAATTGTTTTCTCATCCTTTTTTCTGTGATGTTTTTTTTGTGTGTGTGTGTTAAATTACATCTGATGTAATTTAACATGGAGGTTTTGGCTTTAGATCTGACACCTCTGAGCTTCTTTTTGTACCCTCCCAAAGGCTGGTATTTCTTCCTGGGCTGGTGTTTTCTTCCTCACAGCCATTTGAGGAATTGTTTTGTTTTTCCTTATAGCTGACTCTTGTCAGCTTCTGTTGTTTTGATGTATGTAAAAACCAGAACAAGCTTCCTTTGAAAACTTTAAAAATATCAGCAAGTTTGTAACCACAAGAAGTGGAAAGCTCAGAGAGACAGAACTTGAGCCCTGTCTTCATGGACATACACTTTCTGTTGCGCTAAGCATAATTTATATTGTTTCCAGAAACCCTCTTTGGCAAAAAACATCAAACAAAAGGTTCTGGATATAGAAAATGCCCTAGTTTTGTAGTTTCTTGTTGCCTCCTCATCTCTGGGCAGAGGTCTCTGGCTTGGAACACCCTGGCAGCAGCTCCAGCCGTTGTGGGGTGGTGGAGTTGGACAGCCACAAACCCCCAA